TGACCTAGGATCCACAGACTCCTTGGGGATCCATGAATAGATTTCAGAAAACTCTCTGAACTTGAACTTTTAATATGCCAATAACTATATTTAAATATAATTGTTTCCTCTGTAATCCTATTATTTTCTTTAAAATGTTATTCTAAGAAGGGCTTCACCAGACTTAACAAAGGTATCCATGACCCAAAAAGTTAGGAATTCCTGATTTAATCTGAGAGGCTAGATTTTTACTGTAGGGGGAAAAGAATTAAATAAATTTTTACTCAGGTGGGTATTGCCAAAGTTAGGAAAAGAAGTAGCCACATTGAAGACAGACTAGAGGTAGAGAGGTATAGGAGTTCAAAAGTTTAAAATAGAGGATAAAGAGTTTTGGAGGATGAAGAAGAGAACCCACAAGTTACAAGTGATGATAAACAGAAAGGAATCTAGACTCTCCAGGTACTTACTGGTCTTGTTACAATGGATGCATTCTGGAGACTAAAGAAAGTACACAAAGTGTTCTTAAGGATATATCTGTGCTAACCTTGGACAATCCTAATTGCCAGTCCTCATGTACCCTGTGCCTGAAAACCTAAACCACACAAGCCAACACACAAGATTTTTCCAAGGACACACACAACCACAGGAGAAACTGGACCAGAACTCTACAGGGATATATTGTTATAGGATAAAGGGGTTTCACCTAGTCATCCTTACCTTCTTGTCATCACCATAACAGCTCTGATAAAATATAAAATATGCAAAATATAAAAACTTGGAGGAAGTTCCTATACCAGTGAAATCACAAGTCCCTTTTCTCTCACCATAGAAAAGGGGGAGGGGGACAGGAGAATAATATACCTACCATAGAGCTAGTGATCCGAATAACATTTAATTCATTGACCTTTAATGAATGTATTCATATACTTGCTTTTTACTAAAGAAAATTTTGGTTCTTGACTTATTTTGGTACCCAGAAATTAATGTGAACTGTAAGTTAAAGCAGTATTATACCTAAGTACTTCTTTTAAGCCTGTAACTTTAAGGAAAAATAGATTTTTAAAAATTCTTTAAGGAATCCCTTTCCTAATGAAAGTTGTCCTTTATAGTTTTAGGGTAGGTCATAAGGGTGTCATACCTACTAGAAGTGTTATTTTCAATTCTTTGAACATTAATATATTCTTTAAGTATAAATTCCTTAAGCATTAGAATATCTATTTGTAAACCAGCACCAGGCCGGTGTGTAAGCTCCATGGCAGGAAGAAAAAGACTTTATCTAGGTTTCCACTCTCCAAGATTAGCTAGGTGGCTCAGTGGATAATGCCTTGAGTTCAAATCTAGCCACAGAAATTTACTAGCTGTGTGACTCTGGGCAAATCACTTAGCCTCAGTTTACCTAAGTTTCTTCATCTCTGAAATGAGGAAAATAATAGTACCTACTTCCCAGGATTGTTGAGAGAATCAAATAGTTGTAAAGTGCTTAGCACAGTTACTGACTAAATGCTATATGAATGTTAGCTGTATTAGCTCCCATTCACACTATCTATATTCTGTAAGTATGGTGCTTTGCAGGTTGTCTGCCCCCATCAGACTCTGGACTACATGAGGGCAGGGACTGTGTTTTTGCCTCTTTGTATTCTGATTACTTAGCACAATGCCTAACACACAGTAAGCACTTAATAAATGCTTATCTGACTGAATGTTGCTGTTGGCAAAGTTAGTAAAGCAGCCTTTGACACTGCAAATCAAGGAATCCTCTTATTTAAGAAAACAGAAAAATTCTCTCTCCGACAGTTTTATTCATTCACTTAGTACTTAAAACTGCACTAAGACTTTGGGAATACTCTCTAATTGCGAAAGGACTGGAAGCAACCTAAGTGACCAACAATAGAAGAATTATGAAATAATCTGTAGCACGTTCATGTGATAGAATACTATAATGCAGTTAAGGCCAACAAACAGTCATACCAAAACCTTGAAAGACCTTCATGGAAAAAGGCAGGATCATAGGAATGGCACACACAGGAAACACTCCCAGAAGGAACTCACCAGTGGAAGAAGGGGGCCAGCATGGTAGAGGGATATTCCAGGGTGAGAAGTCAGCTGAGTCACGGTGGTGAAGCCCAGGATGGCTAAGGGACAATAGACCTCGTTGCAAGTCTTTAAACACTTTGTGTATGGGTTAGACAAGAGGGCCACTGAGATCCCTTCAATTCTGTGATCCCCTTCTCCAGACAGCTGATATTAATAGCACTTGAGGCTTAAAACCATCAGAAGTCAACTGTAGATTAGAGGAGATTCTACCAGGACCATTGGGAAGAAACTGAGATCTCTTGTCACCTTTACTAAATCTTCTGGCTATCCCTCCCTATGTAAGGATAGAGCCAGTTGCCTAGGGCTCAGGATAAGGGCAGTATTTCTTCCAAATTATTCCTAAAAAAGAGGACAAAAAGGACCACAAGATTCAATCTCTTGATTGAGAACATAAAGTTATTATTCTTTGCTCAGGCTATCTTCCATAGTTAGAATGTTCTCTTTCTCATCTCTGCTTCCTAAAATCTGTACTTTCCTTCAAAGCTCAGGGCAAATACCTCCTTGTACATGAGGCATCTCCTAATCCACCCCAGCCCCACCCCAGTCCCCCAGCTGCTAGCATTTCCACTGAAATTATCTTGTATATATTTTTAATATAACGATAACTAATAATATTAGCAAATAGCATTTGTTAATAATCCATGATCATATACTATATATAATTATGTCATGCTATATTATCTGTGAGCATGTATTATTATGTAATAATATAATAATAATAGCATTTATGTAGTACATATATATGGCATTGATGTCAAACTCAGATAGAAACAGCATGCACCAAACCGTACCTAAGGATCTCTTCAGGCTACATATTGACTTAGAAAACCACATCATAACATTATATATGTTCTACTGTATTTTATTTATTAAATATTTCCCAATTCCATTTTAATCTGATTTAGGAGGGAGTGTTCAGGGGGGCTGAATATTTAAGGGGGGTGGGGGGGTGTATGCATATTGTCTCCTCCGCTAGAGGTTAAAGGCTGGGACTGTATCATTTTGTCTTAGGACAGTGCCTGGGCTACAATAGCCACTTAATAAATGCTTTTGGATTGATTCATCTGAAGTGGCTTTCCTTAAAGGCACAAGAATATGCTGAAATGTTAGATCCCATCGGTAAATACTAAGCATCAGTGGCTCCTATATACACCTGGTAATTTGAACAGAAAAGAGAATTCTATTTTTGACATTACATACTATTCAGAATGAAGTTATTTAGGTGGGCAATAGTGGAGACCACATATATACATAGTCCATTTAAGTGAGGTTCCCCAGACCCACCCATCGTGCCCCTCCACAGGGTCTGAGGTTATGAACTTGAATTGGGAAACATTTACATCTTTATTTTCCCTAGTCTTGGGTTTCCTTTGTCATCCTCTGTGCTTTATTTTATGCATTTAAACACAGTGTTTTGAGAAGAGCTCCACGGGCCTCACCAGAGTGCCAGGGGCAGGGTTCCCATCACACACAAAGGTTAAGAACTTTTGGGCTGAGGGTGGTATTTGTGTGCTTTGAATTCCTTGCAGTTTCAATTCCTTCAGCTGTTAGAATCATCCCCAGCTGTCCCAACAATGATGACCCAGACCATGCCTCCTCCATGTGGGGAAATTCTCAGCTATGGCTTGCCTCCTGTCAGTGGCCGATGATCTCCTGTTGAGTTCCTCCCTTGCCCTAGATAGTAGGTGGCCGGGAAGGACAAAAAGCTTAATTTTTGGTCTCTGTTTGCTCTTGCTTTATTTTCGTCAAAGGAAAAGTGTAAGGCCCGATCCTCATGGATGTTTTCATCTGCCGGTCAGGCTTTGCTGCCTGGCCTTGCCCTCCTCTGGCACGTGCTCTCATCATTATGTGCTCTTTACCACCCTCAGTTCCCATTGTCTTCTCTGTAGGAAATCAAACTCAGCTTGAACAGATGCAAGGAGGGAATTTTCAGACAAAGTCTCTTGACTTTTCTTCATTTGGATGCGAATGTATTTTGGCATCTTGAAAGGAGGCATTAGTACAGGTTGTGTTATCACTGGAGCAGCACCCCCCTCCATCTCTTTTCCACCCCCCTCCGCACTCCTGGGCCCTGCCTGGCTCAGCTCTGGAGGACAGCTTTCCCGGCATTGTTTACCTACTCAATCCCCTGGTCTTGTGCAGCGTTGAATGTCTCCATTGTCCAGGCCTGCTGCCAGGAGCAGGGAGTCTGTGCTCTCTTTGGGCAGGGCATTATGTCCTAGGAATCTAACTAATAACTTAACAGCCCTGATTCGCCCCGAGCTCACTCTGAAAAGTGCTTTGTGAGTTTCCAGGCACACAGATGGAGAGAAGCTACTTATCTGAAAGACGTCACATTACTACTTGTTCCTAAAATTAGATGCCTTCATAGACTGGTGTTGACTGAGGACTGTGGCTTTAAAGAGAGTTTCTTCCCAATAGGATTTGACACAAAGGAGGGAAAATCAGCAGCATCTGGTCTTCCAATGAAGACTAGGGGCATTAAATCTTTGTGCTGCTAGACATGTAGCATCTGCCCCACTGCAGGCATGGACAAATTCATTTTCTCAACTTAGTCTTTTTTTTAACCAACTAATTTGCCCAAGCAAATAGCCGCTGAGAGAATCATTTTAATTGATTTTTTTGAGCATTGAACTTCATGGCTGGGAATATACGTTTAAATTGGCATTTGTCTCATTGGGTTAAATGAGCGTTTTCTTGTATTTGATTTAGTGAATTCCAGTTACTAAGTGCATTTCTGGTTTGTTTTTAATAAACTAGAGAAAAATGTGTTTCCTTCCTTGTTCCAATTCCTTATCAAACTCAAAACTCATCTTTGGAAATGCTTTCTCCCTCCCTTCTATTATTCATTCCATACAAAGGGTTGTTTTCTCTTTATTGCATATTACTGATGGTTGTTTTCCTCCCTTTTCTCTGTTTGCCCTCAGGAAAACATGCCTCAGACTCCTCCCTTTGCCGTGATGTTTGACAGCAATGGATATAACCGGCCCCTGTATCAGTCCAAAGAAGATAACTGTGAAGGATTGTATTACCATGACAACAACTTGTTATCAGGATCCCTGGAAGCCCTCATCCAGCACTTAGTGCCCAGTATAGACTATTATCCAGATGTGAGTATCTAAGTGCACCTTCCCCTTCCACCCTTCCCCCAAAGACGGGGCACAGATGTCGTAGAACTTGTATCCCCCTATGACTGAGAGATGCCTACTGAGAACCCACATTCAGTCCTGATAAGCTAATTCAATACCTTGAGGCTAAGTTGGGCAGTAATATACGTATTTGACTTAATTTTTAAAAATTGTATTATTTCATTTTAAAAATTATTCATTATTCAAAAATATTCACTTTCATCCCTCCCGCCTTCCCTTACCCACAAGAAAGAAACAAAGAACCCTTGAATCACAAAAGTACAATAAAGCAAAACATTTTCCCCATGAGTCACACCTAAAAATACAGTCTTATTCTGCATATTAATCCTATCATCCCACTGTCATGAGGTGGTTAGTGTTGTTTATCAGTCCTCTGGAATCATGGCTGATCATATAGGGTTGATCAGTGTTTTTAAGTCTTTCAAGATGGTTGATTTTTATAATATTAAGGTTATAATATCAAGTGTTCTGGTTTTGCTCATTTCATCCTGTATTAGTTCACCTAAGTCTTTCCACATCACTTTAAAGCTGTCTTTTTCCTCTTTTCTTTTAGCAGGGCAAAATTTTCACAGACATTGCTGTATTTCCAATTTGAGCCTATAAAAGACCCTCAGTCCTATCATCTAGCAAATGTAGGCTCTTCCTGTCTCATGTACATATGTGTTTTGTCCTTGTACTTTCTCTACTATAGGACTTTTGGGCCTAGACCTGTGATGTCATTGTTATAGGGAACTTCCAGTGAGAAAGCCCTATCCATGGACAAAGCATCTTAGAGAGCTTCCAAGGACACTAAGAAGTGAAATGGCTTGCCCCTGGGTCAGACTGCCAGTGTGTGGTAGAGGTGGGTGGGATTTGAATCCAAGTCTTCCTAGTTCCAAGGTTGTCTCTCTCTCCACACCTCTACACTTACTGCCTCTCCATAGGATTACTACCCTTTAATCATAAGATTATTGCCACTGGATTATTACCATTTAATCATTTCTGTTCAGGAAGTCCTAGCATTACAGCACTTACGTATGTATCTGCTTGAAGACAAGGGTAGAATGGGCCATATGAAAAGATGGCGGCTTTTAGCATTTAAAAGGTTCAGGCTGAAGCCATATCTCGTCGGGGATTGCATGGATATTTGGCCATTGGCCAGCTTTTTTCTCAGGCCCTCTCATTTTTTAGAATTATCCTCAGAACCAGAATGGCTTGCTGAGCAACTTTTTGTGTGTTGTGGGAGTGAGTGTTTGGGCAAGGAGAGGCAGGGTTGAGAAGTCCTCATAAAAAAACCCATCTACTCCAACTGTACGTCTTGGGCATTTTCATTGCTTTTTAAAATGTCGTAATCCCTGATAAAAAATTCAGTGAAAAGAATAGCCTTTTTTCCTGTAATGATTATTGCTAAGCTGTGTATGTATATGACTTCTTATAAGGTCTTTTCAGAAATAATACCACGTGGTTACTTATTATCAAAAGTAAGAGGGATTTCTTGTTCAATTCCTTAATTGTTTATGAGCTGCTTGGGGAAAAAATGAAACTCTAGGGGGTTTCTTGGTTCATAGAAATTCTGAAAGGACTGTAACAAACAGTCCTTGCCTCATTACTGGCTTCTCAGGAGACAAGAGTTTACAGCAAAGCATATAGTGGTATATTGTACTCAGTCAAACTCAGTTCTTGAGCAAACAAATGGATTACTTGAAAGCTCTGCTTTCAAATGGTCTGGCTCAAACATGCCTGTCAGTGTGCTGCTCAGAAGGTGTGTTGTTTTCTCTTAAGTTAATGAGGAATTAACATGTTGTATGGATATAGAAAAAGCTCTTGGTCCATCTTGGATTGGATTTTTCTTTGAGACAAGTATGGTGACTTTGGGGAAATGGATGAGATATCACCTTGCCCATTCTTACTGATCTTCAAGGCCAGGTACAAATGTCTTCTGGGTAACCTTAGGAGCCAAGCTGGATCTCAACTACCCCCTCCCTTTTGAACATGATGAGGGATCAGTCAATCGTGCATTTGTTAATCACCTACTGTATAGCAAGTAGTGGGGCTACAAAGACAAAAACAAAACTGTTCCTGTCCTCAGGGGGCTTATATTCTATCAGGGCAATGGCCTGAACCCACAGAAAATTCCATGTTTAAACACAGGCCTTAGGGTGTGTTGAGAGCTAATTTAGCTTTAATAGAACACTTAATTCCATCCTGCACAGTACCTTTTATTCCAGTTTTGACTCTACAGTTAAAAATACATACATATGTACTATTATATTACAATGTTTAAGTTATATTATTACTATTATTATTGTATTATATATTTACATTACAATACAATGTGATATTATATATAAAGTTAATACTGAGTTGATGATGAATTCAGTATATGGAAGGAGACACCTATTTTGGCAGGAATGTGAACCTAGGATTTGTATTAATTTATATTTACATTTTTCTTTTGCCTGCAGAGAACATACATATTCACCTTTCTACTCAGCTCTCGTTTATTCATGCATCCCTTTGAACTAATGGCCAAGGTTTGCCATTTGTGCGTTGAGCACCAGAGGTTAAGTGATCCCAGCTTGGACAAGGTGAGGATGCAATCTGGAAATATTAACTCAGTGTTGTTGCCGGGTCCCGCTGTTTCATAGCTGAGCCCTTCAGAACTTTGTGGTAATAGTTCTTGAGCCAAGTAGACATAGTACAGGATCCGTTAAAAGCACATATTGGCTCATTTGAGCCTCACGACGATCCTGGGAGGTAGGTGCTATTATTATTCCCATTTTACAGATGAGGAAACTGAGGCCAACAGAGGTTAAGTGACTTGTCACTTAAGTGGCATCACACAGCTAGGAAGGGTCTGAAGCTGGATTTGAACTCAGATCTTCCTGGCTTCAGGCCCAGCACTATCCACCACTCCACCTAGATTCCCCAATTAATTAAATTAAAATTATTTAAATAGCACTTTATGTAATTAACAAAGTACTTTCTTTACAACAGCTTCATGAGGTGGGTAATGTAGAAGTGTTTCATACAGCTAGTAAATGACAAATCTGAAACACAATTCAGGTACTTGGACTCAAAGTCCAGTGTTCATTCCACCACACTGGACCTTATCACGACCCTGCATGGATCATAGGGAATAGTACAAAGACCATGGAAGGAAAAAAATACCTTAGATTGTTTCTGGTCTGTGCCTTAATTTGATTACCCATTTGACAGTGATATGGCAAAGGGAACCATGGAAACATAGACTCAGCCTTTAATTTTCATTTCCTCTCACCTACGTTCCTAGTCAACAGAATTTTTTATTTATGTGATTATTCTGTGGGAGCCTTCTCTAGTGGCAGCCGGTAATGATATGGTTTTTCTTTTTTCTTTCTAGAGCCAAATTAGAAAAATCGCACCCAAAATTCTTCAGCTCCTGACAGAATGGACCGAGACATTTCCATATGATTTTCGAGATGAAAGAATGATGAGGAATTTGAAAGACCTCACCCATCGAATAGCCAGTGGCGAGGAGGTTGGTGACCCCCCAGGCTGTCCGGTTAGCCCATCTAGAACAGAGACATTCAGACTGTGGGAAATTGTGCTGAATGAGCTTGTTAAACTAGACAAGTCATAAGGTGTAGACGGGTGGGTTGGAGCCAAATTTTCAGTATTTACTCCTCAGAAATCAGGACTTGATTTGTTTTCTTGATTGCCTAGACTTAAAAAAGATGATGGAGGAAATATTAACAATGCAAATTAAAAGTGTGTCACGCATACATCCTCCCCCCAAGCCAGATGTTAAATATTTATTAGCTCCCCTTTGGGTCTAGACTTTACAGTTCTAGAATGTTTGTCCTCTGACCCTCACTTCTTGTTTTGCTTTTGTGCAAGACTTGAAGTGTGTTGGTGTTCTGCCTTGTGTATCCAGTGGAAAATGCTTAAAGTATAGGGGCTGAAACTGAGATTTCATAGCATGGGGAACTCCCTATTAAGGAAATTCTTTCTGCAATTATCAAGTTGGCATCTTCTCTATAGCTTATAGTTTCAAAAATTAGCCTAGACAGCACTTCTTAAACTGTGGGTCGGAACCCCATATGGAGTCGTGAAAAATTTGGCAACAGTAAAAGGTTTCTGAACGTGCAATAACCAAAAATTAATTAAAAATCAAATGCGTAGTGAATCCGAGGTGTTTCTAACAGCTCTTGCCTGTGTTGCATTGTGCAACTTCACCGCAGCCTTGGTTCTGAACACATAGCATGTGCACTTTGTACCGTGCATGCCCTCAGGCCATGCCATACTACAAATACTGCAGAAGGTGAAAAGGGCTGATGAGTGAAAAAAGTTTAGGAAGTCCTCATAGGACACTAAGAGGTTGTCAGTCAGCAAAAAAATTTATTAAGTGCTTATTATATGCCAGGCACTGTGCCTAAGTGCTAGGGATACAAAGACAGCTAAAAGGCATGGCTCCCTTCAACAGAACTTAAATAAGAGTGGAATTGATATATGTTGGGAGTAATTCAGGGTTGGACAGGGTGTGATGAGTGATAGGACAGTGGTGCCAAGGAATTAAAGGAATTTCATTTTCTGAAATTTGTAACAGATTAAAAAAGAAAAAGAAAACAAAACTTTACTAAAACCAACCACCATGTTGGTCTCATCTGACAGAGTATGTCTGACTTCCCACAGTGCCTCTAATATTGACTAACTACATTTCTTATCATCTTTGTCAATATCTCCTTTTGTTTTCTTCCAGTTTTTAAAAATTATATGAGTTTGAATATCTGATTCAAGCATCCATTTGGTAACCATTATGGCATGTGGTATAAAAAACTGGTCTAAACCTGTTTTTCCCCCCAAACCACAATATAAATGTTACCAAAGTTCTTACCATGAGGAATTTATGTTCCTGGGTTTATCCACCACTGACTGGGTTATTGAGTTCGATATTTTTTGCTGATTCTTTTTCTAGTTGTTCTACTGCTTTTATTTACTATTGATTAGAGCTGAATCATAAGTGGGGCAAAGGTAGATTGGGCAGAGGATCGTAATGTCTGCCTCCAGCAAATTATCATTTTATAGTCTCATTATTTTCTCTCTCTTTTACCTTAGAGCCAACAAAAACAGTGGCCTGGCTTTGTCCTTGTACTATCCTTGCCACTAACTGTGTGATCCTAGAGATGTGCCTTTAACTCTCTGGACATCATTTTTCTTCATTATAAAATGAGAGCTGTGACCAGATGGTTTCACAGCCTCTTTCAGCTCCAACATTCTATAAATCAGTCATTAGAAGGTGGTCTGATTTTTCCCTGTATTTTGAGGTGGGACTTTTTGCTCATCAATGATGGGAAGCTTTTTGACGACATCTCCAGGTTTACTCCAATAGAGTCAAGCTCTACATATTTTACTAAGACAAGTCTATATAATTGAGCTTAGTGGGGATTTTATTCCCAAGGAGATACCTTGTAACCAAAATATGAATTGAATTTGATATTGGGAGTTACGTGACAAACAATTCTAGATGGTAGGAATTATCTTTATATTATTTGCCAGTTAATTACTGTCACTGACATTTAATATCTTGGAAAAAAGGAAAGCAAATGTTTGACGGTTTAAAAAAATGAACGTAGAAAAACATTTAACAGTGAGTTAGGCTCTGTAGGAACAGTAATTATTCAGGAATGGAAATATAAGTGATCTCTGGTTCTTTGTTCTCTGAGCGGCCTTTGATGACTTTCTCCATGCTCTTCATTTAAATTCTACTTCTCTCTAAACAGCACATTAGTATTCTTTTCCATCTTAGATCTTCATTTTACCCCCCTTGACTTGACTCCCCTCATGACCTTTTCATACAGATGAAAGATCCTGTACCTGATACTATGAGTTCCCTTTAGGATGTGTTTACCGTTCATAAGAAGTGAAGGAAGCAGTAGGAGTTATTCCTAATTGAATCCAGCTCTTTTCTTCAGGCAGTCCGTTGCCTGTCCCCTGGTCAGCTGCTGACCTGCTGAGGAGTTTCAGTAGGCACATTATTCAGATTCTAATTGCCATTCCATCTGGTGGTCCTAGGAAGCTATTTCTGCACGTGGGCAGGGGCTGGAGTAGGAGCCAGAGAAGGGCTGAAAGGGCTGGTGGTGAGTGGAATCATCTCTTAAAGAAGGTAAAAATTACCCTTCCTAAGAAAGAAGATGAGATTGCCCTTGTACACACCCTGCCTATCTGTGACCCAAGAAGGTCCTGTCTGTAACCCAAGAAGTCCTGCCTGTGGGGAAACTTCAAAATGAATATTTTTTTTGAGACAGAAAATAGAGAAGTTTTCTCAAATAAATATGGTAGCATTGCAAAGCTGGGCAGTGACTCCTCAGAGACATTAGAAAAATAATTTACATAGGCAACACTCAGTGAATATTTTTTGAATGAACAAATACGTGTAAATTGTTAGATTAAATTGGTTCCTTTGATGTGAAAACAAATCAACTTCTGTATTGAGAGGAAAATTGTCTTCTGCACCTCAGGCTAGTGTATAAAAGATTCATTTTCTCTTTGTCTTGCCTCCTTTTGGCTCCTTCAGAGCTGCTATGTTGAACAAAGTATCTGGTTTCAGTGGGGAGATGAGCATGTCCTGGTTACTAGTCCTAAATGTCACTGGTCACTTTAGACTAGTGTTATAGGAAGCTATAGAGAATCACAGTGACAAGGAGGAAATGGCAGCATTTGATGAGATGGTCGAGCAAACATTGTCGGTTACCTGGAGTTTTCCACTTGTGCCCCCTTTTTGCTTTTCAGCAGCATTCATTGGTGTTGCATGACCTGAGGGCATGCACAGTGCAAAGTGCACATGCTTTGTGGTCAGAACCAAGACTGCAGTGAAGTTGCGATATACAACTCGGGCACACGCTGCTAGAAACACCTTGTATTCATTAAGGGTTTGATTTTTAATTAATTTTTGGTCTTTGCATGTTCAGAAACCTTTTATTGTTGCCATATTTTTCCACAACCCCATATGGAATTGTGACCCACAGTTTAAGAAGCACTATGCCTAGAGCATACTAAGGAATGGACTAAGTTTACCTGTTCCAAGCATTATGTCTTCCACACCTGGGATGGCCCCATTGAACAGTTCTCTGACAGGTCTCACTGTAGACCCAGAGCCAAAGGCTGATGATGGAGAAGTTCCTTCTGCCATGTTCCTGGGGCCTTCAGCTTGAGTCAAGGTCACCAGAGAGCAGAACCAAATAAGCTCTGATGATCAGAAAAAACCTTTACTATGGACGCTGTAGACAGCCATGTAGACTGTAACTTCAGCATTGAGTTTGTATGATGTTTAAAAAAAAATCCGAAACCGTTCACAATGATCTCTCCTCTTTTGTATTGTGGCAGACATACAGGAAGACTGTTCATCAAATGATACAAGTTCTGATCCGAAAGCTCGCTACTCTCGGCCAGTATGAGGAAGTACTGGCAAAAATTAATGCAACGTCCACAGATCGGCTTACAGTTCTCAAATCCAAACCTCAGTCAATACAAAGAGATATAATTACCATCTGCAGTGATCCTTATACATTGGCACAGCAGTTGACTCACATAGAGCTGGTAAGGTTGTTGCTTTCACTTGGTTTTGCATCCAGTCAGTCAAAAAGCATTATTAAGTGCCTCCTATGTGCCACACACTGCTGAGGGGAATGACAGCCTCACAGTCTAATGGGACATCTATGTGTTTGTTTGTTTTGTTTTGTTTTGTTTTGTTTAGTTTTTTACTAAGTCATTATGCCTTCCAGCAAACTTTTGATTATTTGTAGTAATGGTGGGAATCTGAGAGGTAGATAGTCCAAAATGGTAGCCAGTTCAAAATATCTTTTGTATTTAACTTTTTTATTTTCAATCAAAAATAAGCACACCTGCCCTTCTGGGATTTCACTTCAACACCTAATCCACAAGGAACTGCAAAGTTATCCCATTTCCTTCTTTACTCCTAAATCCTACTCTAATCCCAGCCATGCAGGCTGCTTCATTCCAGACCTAGAAAGCTTCTCTTTCACACTAAGGCAAAGAACTCACTGGAGAATAGAATTGCTTCCTTTAAAACAAGATATTAAAATAATGGGGGAAGAGCTTCTTTCTAAGGGAACTTGAAAAACAGTATAGTTTCCAAGAGTCAATGCTTTTATTTTTGGACCAGATATGGTACTGGTATAGGGAGCTTCCAAGTGAGGAAATTCCTCTACTAAAGTAAATCTGTACCCACACTGCAACTTGTGATCTTAAAAAATTGTGCAGGGGGTAGGGGTAGCCCTAAGTGACTTGCTAGGATGGCTCTTCCATATGTGCCAAAGACAAGACCTCACCTCAAGTCATCCTGATTCAAAGGCCGGCTCTCTATCTGCTAGGACACATTGCCTCTCCTGTTTAATTATATAGTTGGGGAAATTGCTGATTCACCGTGGTTTGTTTTGTTTTTAAAATTTTCAGGAGAGGCTCAATTATATTGGACCAGAAGAATTTGTCCAGGCGTTTTTGCAGAAGGACCCTTTGGACAATGACAAGGTAAAAAACCATTGCAATAACTCTTCTAGAAGCTGAAATTACATCTGTGAGCCTACTGTACCAAACCCTATAGAACAGAATTGGGAGGGAATTCTTGGGGCTTCTAGAAACTTCCTCACCTCAGTTTTGTGTGCACGAGATTTGTTTTGTTTTTAATTTGAGGCAGCAGGGTCTTCTCCCAAGTGTCTTAGCCCATCATGGCTTTATTTATTTAGTTATTTTTGCCCGTTCTTTCTGGGAAACTTTGGTAATTAGAACTTTAGATTTTGGTGCTTCATGGAGGTGAATGTCATGGTTTCAGCGGTTATTGTTAGAAAACAAAAGACTGCCTTTTGATCCAGTTACAAGGATAGCGCAGGGACGTTCACCTGGCTGACAAAAAGCTGTTAGAAATGGTTTTTTTCTTCCCCTAAGATGCAGTTAGATCTCCCTGATAAATGATTTCTTTATTATCAGGGTGAAGCCAGCAGACATACAAAGTTTTCAAATACCTCTCTCTAAAAGTAACCCCACTGGAAATCTACAAGGCACATTTTTGCTCTTCAGACAAAATGTAGACATTCCGAACTTTCCTAGAAATCACTGTCTGTGGGAGCAAGGACAACAGCTGCTTCCTGTCCTTAGGAGTCCCCTCAGTACAGGAGCTAAAGATCAAATTCTTCCATGAAAGACTAACAGGGCACTTGTCAGAGGGGAAACAAAGAATAATTAGCCTGATTTGGAATTTTGCTTTTGAGCTAAGTGCCATGTGGTCTCTAATGATCGTTTGGTGGAGGCTTTTCTTTACAGCCTTAGAGATCACAAATTCCACATTCCCATGCCTCCCTCACACCCCGCAACTTGCCATGTGCTCAATTCATTAACATTTTATACAAGGTGTCCCTAAAAGTCTTGGTGCACGTTTAATCTGTTAAAGGTTAATAGCTTAAAATATGGACCCCCAACCCCATCCCCTTTAATAATTTTAAGCCATTAAAACTTAAAACTGTGGGAACATGTGTTTAAGGGGCAGACAACCCAGATCAGATCTCACCTCTGTCACCCATTGCCTCTGTGGCCTTGGGCAAAGTCATTTAACATCTGGGAGCCTTAGTTTCTTTCTAAGTAAAATAAGAGGGTTGGATTAGATGGTCTCTCAGGCTTCTTTGAGCTCTCTGGCTATGAGCTGATGAACCCAAGGACGGTCTGCAAACATTTATAGAGTGCCTACTGTGTGCTAAGCATTATATTACTTACTGGGGAAGCATAAAAATGAAATGCTCACTGCCCTCAGGGAGACCTAACAACCTCTACACAAATAAGTAAATTTAAGGTGGATGAGAATATTAACACCTGGGGAGGGGTTGGGCAGAGATCCTTGATTTCATTTCCCCCAGTAGAATGTGAGTCTTCGACTCACTGCAGGGACTGTTTTTGCACTTTTAAAAATTTATCATTGTGCTGGGTGCTTAGGAAGGATTCAGCAAGTGTTTATCGATGTTTTGGATTCATATGATCATAGATTCCGAACTAGAAGGGACCCTAGAATGGAATTTCTTGAGGAGTTCTGTGAACTTGGAATGGGAAAAACAATTACGTCTTTATGTTCACTAACCTCTAATTGAAATTTAGCACTTCCTTCACTTATCTAACAACATTAGTCTGAGAAGTTGGCTTCACCGGGCTTCCAAAATGGTGGGGACTGGGGATAGATGGGAGTGACCCAGATTTGCAAGGATCATACTACAGGTCTTATTCTCATTTTACAAATGAGAAAAGTTAAGTTAATTACCCACGTAGATACTAAATGTTGGGTGGGATTTGAACTTATATCTCATGACTCTAAGCTGCCATTTTGAGGCTTAATTTTAGGAGAAAGTGTTCCAGTCCTTTCAGCCCCACTCATTGTGTTGTTGCCCTCCCCCTGAAGATGAGGGTCATGCTAGAACACATTGGCTCCAACTCCTTAAATCCAGGGTATCAAGGCTTAAGACTGCAGTGAAAGAATGGCTCTGTCCAGTCCCAAGTCACTCAGTCTGGGATCTGGGAGAAAGCGCACCTGAATGAACACATTGGAGCAAGCAAACATGTCAAGACCTCCAAGAACCCTCATGACCTGGGATCTTAAGTGACCCCTGAGGCTGAGGCAGAGGCGGTGCCCTTGCAAAAGTAGAGTCAGTTGTTTTCATGACAAGCATTTATGCCTCAGAAATCAGCAGTCATCACAAATCAAGACCTGCTTATTGTTTTATTGATGGTCTAGACATAAGAAAATGATGGGGGAAATTTTAATAATGGAGATTAAAGCCAAAAGGTGTCGTGCATGCTTTTTTTATCCTCTAGAGATCTAGCCGTTAAACTTTTACCAGAAGACCCCTAAGTACAGGCAAAATGTGATTTCCTCCAGGTTTTCTGGTTTTAACCTTTCCTTTTGTCTGATGATTAGTTATAATAACTTCTGTTCTTTTTCTTGGGTTTCTTCAGAGTTGTTATGATGAGCCAAAAAAGACTCGAAACCTTGAAGCTTATGTGGAGTGGTTTAATCGACTCAGCTACTTGGTTGCCACTGAAATCTGCATGGTGAGACAATGGATCCTATCTTGTCCTCTAGAAGCTAGCCTCTTTGACTTTCGCAGTAGTCATTGTGTTGGCCTTCCATCCATCTTCTGGTAGGCCTACTCAGTAATCACTGTGTTGGCCGTCCATCCATCCCCTGGTAGGCCTGCTCAGTAATCACTGCACTGGGCTTCTATCCATCCTCTGGCAGGTCTGCTCAGTAACCATTGCCCTGGCCTTCCATCCATCCCCTGATAGGTCTGCTCAGTAACCATTGCACTGGCCTTCCATCCATCCTCTGGCAGGTCTGCTCAGTAACCATTGCCCTGGCCTTCCATCCATCCCCTGGTAGGTCTGCTCAATAATCATTGCATTGGGCTTCCATCCGTCCTCTGGTAGGCCTGTTCAGTAATCATTGCACTGGGCTTCCATCCATCCCCTGGTAGGTCTGCTCAGTAACCATTGCATTGGGCTTCTATCCATCCTCTGGAGGCCTGTTCAGTGGTGGTTGTCTTGGCCTTCCATCCATCCCCTGGTAGGCCTGCTCAGTAACCATTGCATTGGCCTTCCATCCATCCCCTGGTAGGCCTGTTCAGTAACCATTGCATTGGCCTTCTATCCATCCTCTGGTAGGCCTGTTCAGTGGTGGTTGTCTTGGCCTTCTATCCATCCCCTGTATAGTACTACCATGCCTGGTCCTGCTCAGTAACCATTGCATTGGCCTTCCATCCATCCCCTGGTAGGTCTGCTCACTAACCATTGCACTGGCCTTCCATCCATCCCCTGGTAGGCCTGTTCAGTAACCATTGCACTGGGCTTCCATCCATCCCCTGGTCTGTTCAGTAACCATTGCATTGGCCTTCCATCCATCCTCTGGTAGGTCTGCTCAATAACCATTGCACTGGCCTTCCATCCATCCCCTGGTAGGCCTGTTCAGTAACCATTGCACTGGGCTTCCATCCATCCCCTGGTAGGCCTGCTCAGTAACCATTGCACTGGCCTTCCATCCATCCTCTGGCAGGTCTGCTCAGTAACCATTGCCCTGGCCTTCCATCCATCCCCTGGTAGGTCTGCTCAGTAACCATTGCACTGGCCTTCCATCCATCCTCTGGCAGGTCTGCTCAGTAACCATTGCCCTGGCCTTCCATCCATCCCCTGGTAGGTCTGCTCAGTAACCATTGCATTGGCCTTCCATCCATCCTCTGGCAGGTCTGCTCAGTAACCATTGCCCTGGCCTTCCATCCATCCCCTGGTAGGCCTGCTCAGTAACCATTGCCCTGGGCTTCCATCCATCCTCTGGCAGGTCTGCTCAGTAATCACTGCATTGGCCTTCCATCCATCCCCTGGTAGGCCTGCTCCGTAACCATTGCACTGGGCTTCCATCCATCCCCTGGTAGGTCTGCTCAGTAACCATTGCATTGGCCTTCCATCCATCCCCTGGTAGGTCTGCTCTGTAACCATTGCACTGGCCTTCCATCCATCCCCTGGTAGGCCTGCTCAGTAATCATTGCACTGGCCTTCCATCCATCCCCTGGTAGGTCTGCTCAGTAACCATTGCATTGGCCTTCCATCCATCCCCTGGTAGGTCTGCTCAGTAACCATTGCATTGGCCTTCCATCCATCCCCTGGTAGGTCACATCCCAGTGCCATTGTTTTTCAGCCTGTGAAAAAGAAGCACCGAGCAAGAATGATTGAGTATTTCATTGATGTAGCCCGGGAGTGTTTCAACATTGGCAACTTTAACTCCTTGATGGCAATAATATGTGAGTATGTCCGGGAGGGATCTTGCCATTTTCCTCGTAACGGGACTGATGGAAAACAATTGTCAACAAAAAGTGAGCAAAAGACGAGGGTTTTCTAAGTCTAGCAGTTTATTTTATGCTCCAGAATGCAACCCTCAAGAGAAAGCATGTATAAAACACCCGTTAAAGTCACACAGAGGCATGTTTGTCTGTGAGACACCAGCCTATCTTGGCCCATCTTGGAACTCGGCAGTCCTCAGATTGCTGATAGTGTGATTGGCAGGGAAAGGAAAAGGAGGTGATACACTTCTAAAGGCATTGTTTTCAGGCTCCCCGTGAGTTTTTTTCCTCATTATTTTTGTAAGAATATTTTGGCATGATCTCTTACCATCATCCTCCACCAGCCTTTGTCCATTTATACAGGTACTTGGCTCCCCCATTAGACCTTGGGCTCCTTCAGAGCAGACTGAACTTGCCTTTCTCTGTATCCTCACGACATAGCACAGTGTCTGTCACACAGTAGGTGCTTTATAAATGCTTGTGGACTAACTTTTAAAAAAATAATAATTCACTTTATTTTTAAATTATGAAATCAACCAAGCATTTCCACAACATAGTATAACAAAAAGAGATGATTGCGCATGAAACTGCACATTTATTATGTACAACTTGCTATTTCTTTTAAATATATAATAAAATTACTGTGTACATTTTTTTTCTTTTTTTTCCTTTTTTTCTGTCCTCCCTCCTCCCACACTGACTGACCGATTTTGCATAATTAAAGGCAGTGAATCCCCTTCTTACCAAGGGTTTGGAAAGATTGCGGATCAGATATGGGGTCTGGGACTGAATTAGAATCCAAATTATTTTTGAAGATGTATAGGCAGGGCTGACCTAGATAAATGAGATTAGAGGATTGACAGAATGGAGATGTGTCTATAATTTGGGCCTTTTTTTCCTCTCCCCTCCTCCCCCCCATTTAAAACAGTCTTTAATACATAGTGACAAAAAATCCCAACAAGTTTCCTTGCCACTTTGGCTGAAAAATTCAATGGAAATGAGCAGAAAAATCCCTCCGAGTCACATTTAAATGAGGGTTCTTCAACTTTTTTGTGCCAGTTTGGTGAAACCTATGGAATGCTACTCAGAATAATGTTTTTAAATGCACAAAATAAAATACATAAGATTGTAAAATGAATCAATTACATTGAAATATTATTTGAATAATTGATTGGCATTATTATTAAAATATGACAAAATCCCACATTCACAGACTCCAGCTCAAGAACTCCTTCCTTAGAGGAAGAAAACATTATAGTTCCATAATTCCCCTATCAGAGAGTAGAGGGAATAAGCCAGGCACTGTGCCATGTGTTTTACGTCCTCACAACAACCCTGCTTTATTACTGCCATTTTACAGATGAGGAAACTCAAGCACAGACAGGTTAAATGACTCACCCAGGTTCACACACCTGGGAAGTGTCTGAGGTCATATTTGAACTTGGGTCTTCCTGATTTCGGTCCCAGCCTGCATCACCTAGCTAAAAAATTCGCTTAATTTTCCTTGCTATATAGTGATACCAGAGAACCTGTCTCTCTTTCTTAAAGTATGAATATCAGAGGCCTGAAATCAGTTGGACCATTGGGAGCAATTTTCCTGTTTAATTCTAAAGACATTTGCATTTAATTTATTAAAACTAGATTAAACTCCAGCTGTGCACAGAATAATAAAGCAGGCACAAGGAGGGGGAATTTTGGGGGAACTGACGCATGGTCGCTAGAGTTTATAATCTATAGGCATTTGCAGAAACATTATTGATAATGGGCGCATTTTTAGAATCTGAATTTAGAAAGAGCTCTGCATTTGCTTTGCTTTTTTTCTTTTTTAATTTTACATGGAAAGCTGGCATGAACATGAGCCCTGTGTCCCGGCTAAAGAAAACCTGGACCAAAGTGAAGACTGCCAAGTTTGACATTCTGGAGGTAAACACACCTGATGCTCTGAAGGAATCCCAGCATCCTTTGGCTCTTGCCAAGGGAAGCTGCTTCCCTTTGTTTTGTGAATGAATTGCTTTGGACCCAAGGAGACCCAGCACAATTATCCTTTAAGACCCAGGGCAAAGACAGGTGCAGTTAGAGGAGATGAGAGCCATAAACAAAGCCCTGGCTTGATCCTGAGTAGGCAGTTTTCCCTTTTTAAAAAAAGATTGTGTTGATATAGTTAACTTATTAAACCATCCCCTGACAGCAACATTATAGTCTTAGGTGAGAACCTTGGTATGGCAGAAGGAGAGGGACTTTGCAGGATTCAAGGATTTTGAAAGAAAAAAGCAGTCACATAATTTTCAATAAACATATGGTTACTATTGTTAATAATAAATGTAAGCCTCAAAGCAGTATTCTATAGTAATGACTCAGGTCATTAACCTATATATAACCTATACATACATACATACTTATGCATATACATATACACAAACCCATTTTATAGATAGGAAACTGAAACTCAGCAGTCTTGCCCAAAGACATGCAGAATGCAAATGAATTAGACAGGATTCAAACCCAAGTTTCTGAACTCCAAGAGCTATGTTCCATTCCCATAATATCATATTGTACCTCTCTCTTTCCGTCCCTCCTCTCTCCCTTTCCCTCTCCCTCTTCTTCCTCCTCCTCCTCCTCCTCCTCCTCCTCCTCCTCCTCCTCCTCCTCCTTCTTCTTCTTCTTCTTCTTCTTCTTCTTCTTCTTCTTCTTCTTCTTCTTCTTCTTCTTCTTCTTCTCTCTCTCTCTCTCTCTCTCTCTCTCTCTCTCTCTCTCTCTCTCTCTCTCTCTCTCTCTCTCTCCCTCCCTCCTTCTCTCTCCCTCTGTGTATCTCTATCCTTTTCTGTCTCTCTATATCTCTCTCTGTCTCTCCCTGTCCCACTCTCTCCATCTCTCCATTTTCTCCAGACCTGTGATAGGCTTGATGTCAGGTGCTCCAAACTTGGGAAAACTCCTCCCGATGCATGCTGGCAACTTCTCTGCAACTTAAGGTATTAGAGAGTTGTCTGGGAACACTCAAAGGTTAAATGACTTGACCAGTGTCACAGATAGTATGAATTGGGGGCAGGACTTGAACCCAGGTCTTCCTAACTTGCACACCAGTAATCCATCCACTTCCCCACTTCATCTCTACTCAAATGTTAGGAGCTGTTGCTGTTATGCTGTAAGGATAGGGCCAGGGACTGGACCTGGGATTTCATGATATAGGAAACTCCAATGTGAGGAAACCTTATCCACCAATGTAGGTTCAATACCTTTTCTGCAATTTAAAGCCTTAGTGCTTAGGCATCAAGAGGTTCATTGCCTCACCTGAGCTCACACAGTAGGGACCAGTGGCACAAGTTGAATCCAGGGCTTCCTGGATCGAAGGGCAGCTCTCTACCCACTCTGGTGTAGCTGCCTTTCTTTCATGGATCAATAACCACATGAAATTACATAAGGGAAGTAGGTGCTTCTTTATCCAGGCATTTTCTCATCCTTCTGAAACCACCTGGGATTATTCTAGGAGATGATGATGAATGAGTCAATTCCAAAAACCTCAGGGTTAGGAAATATGGTTAAGATTACTTAAGTGACTATTCATATTTACTAGCCATATTTCTAATATGTCTCCTTTCATTGCCCCTAAGGTGATTTGTTAGTAATTTTTTTTATCAAATGCAAGCAGCAGGTTCTCTGAAGAGGCTGACAGAATGTGGCATCATTATATTTCTCTAACCATCCTCATGCTCTAATTATCCTTTAGATCAAGTATTCTTAACCTTGTTTGTGCCATGGACCCCTCTAGCAGTCTGGTGAAGTTTATGCACCTCCTGTCAGAAGAATGCGTAAAATAAGATAGCTAGGAATACACAAGAAACTGAATATCTCAAACCAGTCACCAATTTTTTTAAGTTCACGGACCCCAGGTTAAGACACATTGCTTTAGTTAAAAATTAATCAGTGAATTTTTCTAATGTTGTTTAATCAACTAATTACCAGTGATGGATTTACTTCCAAATGTTAACTTTCTATGAATTTGGACTAGTCAACATAATCAGTTCCTGCAAATAGTAGAATCTGTTTCAGATATCTGAAAAGGTTTATGCTCTACCATCTACTCTCTACATTAAAAATAAACCCAACCCCTAATCTCAGGGCCTTCACAGAAATTAGCTTGCTATTTTCATAATTATCATTCTAGACAAAGTACAGTTGAATCTTTTGTTGTCAGGAGATGCTGAGTAGTAAGCTCCTTCTCTTCTGTGTACAGCATCAGATGGACCCTTCGAGCAATTTTTATAATTACCGAACAGCTCTCCGAGCAGCAGCACAAAGGTCATTGACAGCTCAGAGCAGCAGAGAGAAGGTAGGTTGCAAAAACAGACTGTTACAAGAGGCTCTTTAGTGTGAGAGACCACATGTTTTATTATGAAATGAAAAGTAATGTCAGTCCTTTTATTGAGCTTCTCATTTTTCTTTTTGGGCACACCAGAGGAGCTTCAGTACATTCATCCTTTAATACCCGGGGGGAAAAGATACAATTAGAGGAAAGGCAACATAAATAAGACCGTGAATTGACCATGAGTGGGAAGCCCTTCCATTTTTGTTAATAGTTAACTTGGTAAACCATACCCTGACAGCTGCATTAGAGTCTTTGATATACTGCCCCATTCTCCTTGACTTGCCCCATCTGTTTCCCCATTGAGCTCCCAGAAGAACCATGTGTGAACACGGAAAAAGATAGTCCAAACCTTATCTTTCTCTTTGGAAATAGAGACTGTTTGTTTTTGTTATTGTATTTCCTAGTGCCTAGCATGTAGTCACCATTGCTCGTCAAAGCAAATTGAGTCATCTTCAAAAAATGAAAGACTGAGGAAACATTACAACAAAAATAAGTAATTTTAAAACATCCCTGCTGAAAATCGAAGAAGAGATTGACAAAATTTGAAGCAAGAAATTGAATTGATCAATTAAACTAGAAACTGCTTTTGAAAAAATAATAAAATAGGTGAACGTGTCATCTGATTAAAAGAGAAAGAGAAGATGACTAAATTGAAATTTTTCTTGACAAAAGGCAGTGAAATAAAAGGAAACTCTCAGAAACTAATTTGCCCAGTTATATGTCAGCAAAACTTTGAAATAGATGAACATCTAGATTAAATGAACAAGAAATAATTTTAATAACTCAGTTTCAGAAAAATTAATTGAGCAAGCCACAAATGAACTCTCAAGGAAAAAAAACCCAAGACCAGATGAAGTTATGAGGGAATTCTATCAAACATTCATAGAAAAATTAATTCCTAGATTATATAAACTATGTACAAAAAAAAAGTAGGAAAAGAAAAGAGCCTGCCAAACTTCTTCTATGGTGCAGATATATGTGGTCTCAATACCTAACCAGGAAGAAATTAAGCAATGAAAGCAAACTCTTGATCAGTGAATACTATGGTTTATAGTATTATAATAATACTATTATAATAAGCATAGTATTATAATAATAGTATTATAATATGTATAGTATTAAAATAATACTGTTGTATGTATAATATTGTAATACAGTTTACTGAATAGTAAAATGTTATCCAAAAGTCTGCAATGATATATTAAAATGGAATTTATACCAGCAACTTTGTTGTTGCTGTTCAGCCATTTCAGTCGTGTCTGACTCTTTGTGACCCCATTTGAGGTTTTCTTCGTAGTGGTTGGCCATTTCCTTCTCTAGCTTATTTTACAGATGAGGGAACTGAGGCAAGCAGGGTTAAGTGACTTGCTCAGGGTCACACAGCTAGAAAGTGCCTGAAGCTGGATTGAACGGGAAGAGGAGTCTTCCTGACTCCAGGCCTGGTGCTCTATCCACTGTGCCACCTAAATGATGTAGATATCAAACAATAAAGTCTCCCTGATTTTTCTGTGACTAAATTGAATAAAAATTCAGTAATAACTTACCCATTGTATTTAGCTCAGAATATGATGACAGTCAGCCCAAATGTGAATATTCCCGATTAAGCTCCTCACCAGCTTTCTGGTATCTGAAAAGCTTCTACTGATGGTGGAGATGTCATTCCACAATTAGAAAGAAAAGGCTCAGAGCAACAACCTCTATTTAAGATAACTAACTCAGAAGAGAAGTGGGAAGCAAACTGTGGCCTGCAGGCTGCCTGTTTTTGTATGGCCTGAAGGCTAAGAATGGTTCCTGGACATGGTGCTTGACCCACAGTTTGCAAACGCCTGCACGAGAACATAATCGATATCAGATGTTTTCCTGTCTTCAGAGGGAGCAGGAAGGCACTAGTCACATGGCGCATGGGGTATAGGAGTGTGGCCCCCAAGATGGAAGGGGGAGGCTCAAGACAAGACAACCCCCTTCTCTCTCCTCTATTTTGTGCTTCTCCCAATATGTTGCCCTACAATGGTGCTTGTATGATTTCCCATGTGAGGAGTCTGTGGCCAGTCTTGTAAGATGAATATCACATTTTCTCACTAGAAAGCAGCAGCTGGCCTGAAATTTCTGGCGTACTCCAATGTTTTGCCTTCTCAGTGGGCAAAGGTTTTTGGTGATGGAGAAAGATAGGTCTTCCAATGATGCTTACTCATGTTAAAACAGTATGTCCTAGACCCAGAATTGATAACAGGCAAATACATTGCCGTATGATAAATAAGGTGAAAACAGCTAGATTTGTGTGAGATTTTGTTCTAATTTTCATCTATAGACTTGGGAATAAACCCGTCAAAATTTTCTTTTTCCCTTCCCAGTATGATATTTCTATCATTTCTTCCCTGACTCCCAAAACTCCCAATCACTTTGCTTAGAAATTCCTTGATAGCTCCTAATTGTAAAATGAAATTATTGACATGTCTCTTTTACTAGAAAACTATTGGGGTTCTTCAAGGAAGAAACCACCTCAGCTAAATGAAAGGCTTCACCCTATGACATTGCCTAGGATTAATTGTTAATATTGTTCCATAATCACTGTTCATTAAGACTTTTATCTCTTTTTATCATTGGACACATGTTTCTTTGCAAAAGGAAAACCAGAACCTTGTGTTTTCTTTAGATTGTGATCCCCTTCTTCAGTCTCTTTATCAAAGATATCTACTTCCTCAATGAGGGCTGTGCGAATCGCCTTCCAAATGGTCATATTAACTTTGAGGTGAGTGGATTAAATATTCATTTATTATTACAAATAATAGCCAGCATTTACACAGCACTTTAAGGTTTGCAAAGCACTTTACAAATATTTTCTCATTTTATTCTCATAACAACCCTGGGAGGTAGGTGCTGTTATTATCCCCATTTTACAGATGAGAAACCTGAGACAGAAAAGTTCAATGACTTGCCCAGGGTCACACAGCTAGTAAGAGTCTCAGATAGGATTTGAACTCAGATCTTCCTGACTCTAAGTCCATCACTCTCTCCACCAAGCCACCTAGCTCCCTAAGTGGTTTTTTTTCTTAATTTCATGCTCCTAATTGAGTTACCACCAAGTACAAAGTGCTTAATCCATAGTACTACCTAGCTGCCTAATAAACAAAAAACAATTTACTAAAAAGCAGGGTAATGTACCATCTTATCAACCATCACTTGTGGGTCTCTCCTATAAAGTCATATCCATGTTATCCCAAGAGATAACAACATCAGACTCTTTCCCTGCCTTCTGAGTCATAAAAGAAAGGTTAAATTTCCTTTGACATACTTTTATTGTTGACTCTATTTCATTGTATCTCAAAACTATGAAAATGTGTTGTCTATCTACAGTGTGTGTTTTGGCTTTTCCCCAATATGGGAAGGTCTGTCATGTGGAAGAGAGATTAGGCTTTTTCTGTAGGACTACGTGAATAATGAGTGATTGTCTTGAAGGTGGTGGGGAAGAAAGTGAAGCATTATAGCAACACAAAGTGACAAAAGCAATATAATACAAGCCCTACCATTCAGGGGCTTAATTCTTCTTTATGGGTAGAGATAGAATCCTTATGGTGATGCATAGGAACCAATGGGAGACCTCACAACACAGTTTTGAAGTGAAGAAAGAGTGATAACACTCACATTGATAAAGTACTTTAGCTAGGAATTGTTTCCTTCTTACTTAGATTAGTGAGGGCCTTTCAAGTTTGATTTGTGTGTTTCTTCCTCTCCCTTTCAGAAATTCTGGGAGCTGGCCAAACAAGTGAGTGAATTTATGATTTGGAAACAAGTCGAGTGTCCCTTTGAGAAAGAGAGGAAGACGTTGCAGTATCTGCTCACTGTTCCAGTCTTCAGTGAAGATGGTGAGCGGCATGTTCAGTTGACAGCCTCTCTGCATTCCTCTTGGAATTATCAAAATGGCAGCACTTGGCCCTTCGTTCCTGCCCTCTGATTATCTGTCCCCTCTCTGATCTCCAGGATGACCAAGAGTTTATTCTGGCTTCCATTTTTTTCTGTTCAGTGAGCTGCAGCTTTGGGATTGATATTATTGGTGTTATTCAATTTCAGCTGGTACTTTTGAATTCTCTCAAAAAGAGATACATCTGGATAATGTAGAGTGAGAAGTGAATGAAGAAATTTACAAGATTGAAAAGTCAGCCCAGTAATGTTATTTGCCTATTAGTTTAAAATAAAAAGTGGGAATATCAAGAAATGATTTTTCTCTCTCCCTCTTGGCCCGGATTCTTTGATGTCTTTGGGTTTGCATGCAGCATAAATTCTCTCCTAAGCATTTTAATGAGCTCTTTTCTGAAAGAGCTTTTTTGTCTGGGCTCGGTCATCACATAATCAGAAGTAAGTGATACCTATGTTCTTAACAGAATTGGGCATCCATAAGTAACATGTCATATGGTGGGGCAGCTAGGTAATTGAACATTAACAGTGAGCGCAGCCTACCTTGCTAATATCTCTTCTTTTTTTTTAAATTTTATTTTTTGATTAACAAGATGCGTTTTCTCTCCCTCCTAAGTCACCATTGAAAATTAATACAAAATAAAACAAAGTACACGTAACAAATATGCATAGTCAAATTCCCATGTTGGCAATATTTAAAAAAAAAATCTGTGTTTCATTATATACCATATACCACTCTTCTTTCTAATTGCAGCTCTTTACCTGGCTTCCTATGAAAGTGAAGGCCCAGAAAATAACACAGAAAAGGACAGATGGAAGTCTCTAAGGTACATTCCAAAGGTTGTTGCCCAGCAACCTGAGTGAAATGGTGGTCTTCCCACAGTCCCTCCATCAAAGGCAAAAATGGAACGGGCCCAGCCCCCAAGGAGCTATGAGTGTGCTAAGTGCTCCAATCACTATGTGGGGTTATGCCAAATCTGAAATTTTCAGTGTAACCGATATGAACTCCCCTCTATATGGCCTCCCTTTGAATGAAGCCCTCTTCCCCACAGAGCATGGAAGACCCATGTAGATTCACTATTGTCCAGGGTGTTGGTGTCCCGTCACTTTATTTTTTATTTCTTTTTTATTTTTTGAAATTGACAGGTAAATAAATATCTTTCTGAGTTTTTAGTTTTTCTTTCTCACTTGTTTCATCTTCTGAAATGAATTATTCTTAACCCATGGTATAGTGGAATGGACTTTGGCCAAGGAAGCAGGACACTTGGGTTCCAGTGACGGTTCTATCCCCGCCTTCCATTTCCTCTAGCCCCCTGCTAAGCTAATTCTATAATCTCTGTCCAGTTACAACCCTCTAGACCTCAATTTCTTCATGTAGAAATGAAGGGAGGATTTTGGACTAGTTCGTGTCCAAGGTTGCTTCTAGCTCTAAAATTCTATGATAGTTATTTGTGTAAGAATGTTTTCTCAAGCAAAGTCAAGATAAGAAGTTTTTTCAAAGGGGTAAAATTAAGAAATTCATTGTTCAAAGGATACTATAATCTAAACTTAAGCTTGTTTCTATTTGCATTCTTAGCACAAAACTATTCAGGAATTTTTCATCTTTGTATTAGTAATTTTTATTCAGATTTTAGAGGCCTGGGGTTGGTCTTCCTTCTGCCATCCAGCTATTTGGGGAGACCATTAATAAAACCCACTTCAAGTTAGATGTGTAGTTAGGAATGAACCATGATAAAAGGTAGATCTCCTCTGAGTTTGCCAAAAGTTCCACTGAAAGGTACTAAAAGTTCAATATGCATGTTATGGGTTTGGGAAGATGACAAAAAAAAATAGAATTATCCCTTGCCTTATTAGAAAATACAATGAGAATTCTGGAGAATTTTTTTAATAATTAATTTTCCAATTACAGAAAGAAACAGAAGCATTAGCACCAGCCATCCCATTTTTTTTGTCCCTTTCTCCCGGTGCTAACATTCTAGCCGCTATTCACCCAATACCCAATTACTCACGCTTTCACTCTCTGCAGTTACATATCTCAGTAACTCTGGCCACTGGCCTGCAATTATAAGGGTGTAACTAGCCTGGTGTGCAGTCGGAATCTAATCTTGGTAGGGAAATATCAGCTAGTTTGCCTTTCAATATGCAAAATACGATGATTGTACTATATCTTAGAATAGGGGTATATTTTAAATTTAGTGTAACTGCCCCTTCTAATGAACATAATAGGGAAAAGACACACAAAACAGAACTAGAATCTTTCCAGGTTTTGCTTGTTGGTTGCTTTTAAAAGCATTAGGTTCTGATTTCCTTCCTAAGAAGAAGTATTGAAATCCTCTAACCACTTGTCTTTTTAAAAGTCTCACTGTGATTCCTCCAAGTAGTTTGGCCAGATGAAAAAGATAGTAGTTGGGCATATTCTCACTTGTTTAGCACAATGACCATGTGAGATAGATAGTACAACTATGACTTTTCCATTTTACAGATGAAACTACTGAGGGCTATCTGTAATATTAAGTGACCTGCCCAAGACCATACAGCTAATAAGTAACTTTCAGAAAATCTAAGCCAGGTTTTCTCAGTCCAAGTCAACAAGCATTTATTAAGTACTTACTGTGTGCCAGGCACTGTGCTAAGCAGCAGGATATAAATACAGATAGAAAGATGGTCTCTGCCCACAAAGAGCTTACATTCTAATGGAAGAAGACAGTATATGAAAGTGGGAGAGGGATGGAAACAAAGGTACCCACCATAGGTCATACGTGGTAAAGTAGTAGAGAAAGTTCCAAGTGTGACCTGGAGAGGAATGAGACAAGGGCACCCTCTAGAAATGGAGGTTCTGGAAGGAGCCATCTACTCAGAGCCCAGAGACCAGAGTGGAGGAGGATACTTCAGATATGTGAATTCCAGGACTGGAGGGAGTCGGGACATGGTAGAGTGAGTCCAGAGTACATCCTAGAGAAGAATGAGTCCAGTGGTTCAAAATCTCAGAGTTTGAGTGTTGGAAGGGACCTCAATGGCTATATTAGTCCAGACAATACCGTAAGACAATCTCCACCATAATATCACATGACAGTAACTTATCCTCTGGCTTCTGCTTGAAATCCTCACAAAGGGACTTCAACTAAGGGTTCATTGCCATGAAGCTGGTCTTGTGTACAGATTGAATTTTTTTTTTTGCTTTTTGGTGAGGCGATTGGGGTTAAATGACTTGCCCAGGGTCACACAGCTAGTAAGTGTCAAGTGTCTGCGGCTGGATTTGAACTCAGGTCCCCCAGACTCCAAGGCCAGAGCTCTCTCCACTGCACCACCTAGTGGCCCCCACAGACTGAGTTTTAAATAAGAATAATAAAACACTTACTTTGTAAAAATTAAAGTACCATATTAATATAATCAATTATTATTAGATAGTTGCCCCAATTAAGTGGCATCTGCTTTACCTGTCCCCAGAAAACCCCACCCTTCCGTGGTACCTCAGTGTATGAAATTTCAACATTCCTTTGGCTTCTTATTTTTTCCCCCGAAAAAATATATAGTCTTGAGAAAGGTATACATTGAACTAATTCACGCTAAAAGTGACTTAACCTGAGTTTTCTAATTGACTGGAAAGATTTAAAAACACAAGGTTGAGATGGGAGAGTAGAGTTATAAGAAAACTTCAGGAGAGGTATTGAAATGGACATAGGGACCCTAACAGGAACCAGAAAACCACTGAATAAACTCTTTTGTAATATCACCTAGTCTCAGCTGAGCTTAACTATTTTTTCTCTTCTAACTCCCCTCTCTCTTTTTTTTTTTTTGGTGCTAATCAGATAAGCAAGTCAATAGGAAATGATAAGTAACTTACCTATGGAATCCAGGCAGGTTAAAACAATCCCATTTAGCCTGTAAATTCTTCCCTACCAGACATTGTGTTTAAAAAAATAATAATTCTTTTGATTATTGCCTCAGGTTTTCAGAGCCAAAAGCTAGGTGACAAGAAATCAAGGAGCTCATAATTCTTTAATCTGTCCTCAATTGGTAGGTGCCATCTATCTCCCTGTAATTATTTCCCCTTAGATTATAGAAAAATTCTCTCCCTGTTCAGCTTCTGACATGGAATTGCCCAGAGTAGCCTCTCTTGAAGACTAGCTTAATGATACCCCTTCAAATTCTCCTTCATTTAAATTCATTTGCCTTTCAACTCATGAAGGAAAGCAACTTCTAACATCCAGACTAGACTCGGTTCCTCCACAGAATGAGCCCTTCTTCTTTTTTTCTGTTCGGTGCGTGCGTGCGTGTGTGTGTGGCACATTCAATCGGTGAATGTTACCAAGTCTATTCATTGTCATGCTCAGGACTCAGCCCTTCCCTTAACTAAGGAAGAAAAGCATAAATCTGTGTAATTCCTATCTGCCTAGAGAAGACTATGTTCCAGGAGACCATTTGCAAACAACCTCAGGAATGCTCATCAGAAATTGAAGTCTGACCTAGAGCCTTTTCTTTCCTTTCCTTTCTCCATCTAAATGTGTAAAGACAAGCTACGGAACAAGTGTAAATCAGGCTCACCACTATGATCCATGATGTTCTCTCATGGACGATTTTATTTCTTCTCAGGTCCAGCTTCTTAGGCAGAGCTTAACGTGAGAGAGGCTGACGTCCACTGCTGTACCGCCAACCACCATCACTGCTGTGTACTAGCTTCTTCGGGAACACATCACGTCATCATTGTTGTTTTCGGCATCCAGTGGTAGGAAAGCAATGGGTACCCCAAACCCAGCAGACGGAAGAAGGGCTCGTGAGAATCAAGAAAGCAAATTCATTTGACAACAAAGGGAGAACAGACTTCCTACAGATGACAGATTGAGTTATCTTGTGTGAGACTCAGACACTGACTGAAGGCAGCTTTGACAGAATCCTCTGAAGCTATTGGAATCGCCATGCGATTCATCTTTCTCGGACTCTCCGTGGGAATGAATCAGTCTGTACTGGGGAGAGAGAGAGAGAGAGAGAGAGAGAGAGAGAGAGAGAGAGAGAGAGAGAGAGAGAGAGTGAGAGAGAATGTGTGTGTGTGTGTATGCCTACATGCACCCTTTTGCGTTATTTGGATTGAAGATTTGCTGCTAATGAGACATGCCAAGGCTCAGTGCTGACTCGTAGAAAGTTGTTCACTTAGGAACGAAAAAAAAGGACAAAGCCTCCAGTTAGGAGACCACGCTCGATACTCCGAGAAGCTCGGCTTGATCAGTATTGACAGAGAAAGACTGGTCCAATGCTGTCCACTGAGGTGGTCGCAGTCGGGTGTATGAGGTGGTGTGTTTTTTGTGGGCTTCCCCCATCCCCTAAGATATTGAGTTGGCTGCTGGTTAGCAAACTCATTTTTACTAATATAAATTATTTAAAATAACGAAGCTTAATTCTGTGGCATGGAAGATGGCCACTAGAAAACTGTCATTTGAAGCTGAACTATTTGATGTGCTAGAAAGTAGTTTTCTTTTGAGCTGTTTACAGATCACCATTGTGTTCTACCATTATTTCTTTTTTTCTTTTCTTTTCGGCAATTGGGGTTAAGTGACTTGCCCAGGGTCACACAGCTAGTAAGTATCAGGTGTTTGGTCTGAGGCCAGATTTGAACTCAGGTCCTCCTAACTTCAGGGCAGGTGCTCTATCCACTGCACCACCCAGCCGCCCCCCATTATTTCTTCAATAGTCTTTTCTTAATCATAATTTTCCATGACAGCTATTTCTTTTCCTGTGTAAGTTCAAACAGCTTTCCTTTTTTGAAAGATTCTTCTGGAGTAAGCAATACATCGAAAATATCTATTACATCATTCTCTTGGTTGTTTTAATGGTAATACGCACGTGATCAGCGTGTGACATGGGCAGCATCAATGTATTATGCACATGTGATAAATCGACGTGATGTACATGTGATCAGGTGGTGGGATACACACATACATGATCAGAACGTGATGTGCACATGTGTAAGAGACAGGCCTAATGCCCCACTCAGTTTGGGGACAAAATCGCCATTGAACAGTTAACAAAAAGATTGACTGTGCCCTATACATCAAGGATATAGAGGTCCTTAGCTGCAGCTCTGATACATGCATTCTCTTCCTACAGAAAAACTCATCTGGTCAGCATCAAGAAAAACATGGGTCAACTGGACCCCCAGGGGCTGCTTTGTTTTCCCTTGGGAAAAGCTAATCCCAGTTCTAAGAGGGAGGCCTAGGCCCACCCCATATGGGGGAAAACACTGGGAGACATTAGTCCTATTACATACCACCCTCTGGTGGCAAGTTCCCAGGATCTTCAGTGGGACCTTTCACTTCTTTCCAGACTCTACAAATTCCATTGTAGTAAATGCTGACCCAGCCTCTGCTTCACACAGATCCCACCACCCATTGGAGGAAGTCATACTAGGGGGAGTATAGTAATAAAAAAAATTGGAGCTGTCTTCTCTGGGGTCACAGTACCCAAGTCTTCCTCAGTGCTACTGTCATTCTGTGTTGTTTCTGCTTTCAGCAGGATGCTATGAGAGCTCTGGGTCAGAGACCTTCTTTCCATCCCTGGGACTGTGTTTCTGACTGCACACTACTGGTCCCTACCCCCTTCAGGAGAGCTTCCTTCACCAGCTCCATTGATTATCCCTGGGTCCTCAGTGTACTGGACCAGTTACTTTTCACTCTAATTTTGCTGGCAGTCCAACACACTGCAGACCTGCAGGGTGGTCCACAATAAGCAGGGAACGCTGGACATAACACCCACTACCCTCCCTGCCAGCCTCCTCCAGCACCCACTGGACTGACTGCTCTGCATCAGTGGGAGTCAAGATTCCCCATACATGACCAAAAGGGCTCGAGCACCTGGGCATCCATGAGGTGTCTGGATGTCCAGTGACCCCACCATCCAGATTTGTTGTAAGCCATGAGACCACCTCATCCCAATTTGCTGACCATTCCAGTTCGAGTTCAGTTTTTGGACATAATGTCATTGACTAGTTAACAAAAAGGCCCATTTTGCCCTAAAACACCACACATATGCCACAAGGCTACAATAGCCCTTAGTTGCAGCTTTGGAGGACATGACCCTCCTCACCTCCTTATGTCTGGTCAGCAAGGTTTAATGAGTGACTCACATGATCTCAGGCACCCACCAAGTTAAAGAAGCCTAGAAGCTACGTCACTGGGACTTTTTATGTTTTTAGGTGACCAAGAAATCGCAGTTGGAAAACTGAAGCCTACCTGTTCCTGGAGACAGCTTTGTCTCCTTTTAGTGAAAACTGATCCCTGCCCAAGGAGGAAGAGGAGGGCCCCTCACCCTACTGTGGGAAATGGTGGGAGATATCCGGCAGTCCAGGACGGATTCCTCAACTCAGGCCTAGGCTTTTCTAGGAAGGAATCTTGTCCATCCTAGAAGACAGAGGCCAGGGCAGCTGCAGAGTACACACCTGCTAAGTTTTCTTGGGGCCCTCCAAAGGTGGCAGAAGGAAACAGACAGTCCTTCAGTGGCAGTTACTAGGGACTTCCTCTAGGGTTCAAGCCACCCAGCCACCTAGAAATGTCCTCTCTTAGCCACACTATGTGGACTGGGTTCCATGCTAAGGTCAAGGTGATGGTGTCAGCATAGGCAGGTGGACAGGGCTCCAACTGACTTTCAGTGTCATGGGGGCTTTGAGAACTGCCCAATCCTGTTGTCCAAGTGGCTGGGGGTGGGGGGCTGCTGCAAGGGCCCATGCCAGCGGGTCCATGACTCGGGATGAATAGGTTCCTAGATACTGTGAACAGATTCCTGGCTAGATGCCAGCAGCTGGGTGAGTCTCCAAGAGGCTCAGTTCAGGTACTGGTTCAAAGGGTGGGCAGTGGTCCCAGTGGCTGCACTGAGGGCAGAGTCTAGTGCATCCCGGGAGGGTAAGTGGTGCTGCAAATGACTACTGTGCTCTCAGGTCCCTCCTTGGTGGACAGTAGCTTAGGAGGGACCTTGGAGGCAGCTTAGCTAATAGGACATGTTGAGTACCTATTATACATCGAGTTCAAAATGTCCAAAGTAAAGTGGTGATAGGGTGGAACTCAGGAGTCTTTGACTAGATATGTAGATCTGGGAAGGAAGGAAGGAAGGAAGGAAGGAAGGAAGGAAGGAAGGAAGGAAGGAAGGAAGGAAGGAAGGAAGGAAGGAAGGAAGGAAGGAAGGAAGGAAGGAAGGAAGGAAGGAAGGAAGGAAGGGAGGGAGGGAGGGAGGGAGGAAGGAAACATTTTTTAAAATTTTTAATTTTTATTTTCAATTCCAAATTTTCTCCCTCCCTCCACCCTTCCACCACCCATTGAGAAGGCAAGAAATATACATTATACATATGAAGTCATGCAAAACATTTTTCCATATTAGTCATTTTGCAAAAGGGAAAAACACAAGAAAAATAAAGTGGGAAAAATGCTTCCATCTGCACTGAGTTAATCAGTTCTCTCCCTGTCTGTGGTTTGCATTTTTCGTCATGAGTCCTTTGGAATGTGATGCACTATTGGGTTGATCAAAGTAGCCAAGCCTTTCACAGTTGATTAGCATTGCTATATTGCTGTTAACGTGCTGTGGTGGTGGTGATGGTGGCGGTGGTTCATACCTTTTTGAAGAAAACCAATGACATTTTGAATGGGTGACGTCTTGACTTGTGAGTGAATTGGATTTAAGCGAGGCAGAGTTGCACAAAGTCCTCAGCCTCACTCTCTCTTCCAGTCATCAAAGTCCAGTGGAAAACAAAAGTCAAGATGACTGGCAATGGCCCCGGGTGCCATGGATGACCTTGGCATATTGATGCCTGACCAAGATCAAAACATTCCCTGGTGCCTGCTTCAGATGCTTTCATGGCTTTTGGAACAAATTGTTCTCATCTGCCCATTCCACCTAGGGGGAAGTCTTTACATGCTTTACCACTTTATGTTTTTCTTGAATCTTGTGTTTGAATTTCAGATTTCCTATTCAGCTATGGTCTTTTCATCAGGAATACTTGGAAGTGCTCTATTTCATTAAATATCTATTTTTTCTGCTTTAGGATTATACTCAGTTTTGCTGGGTAGATTATTCTTCATTGTTATCCTAGCTCCTTTGCCTTCTGGAATATCATATTACAAGTCCTTCTCTCCTTTAATGTGGAAGTTGATAAATCCTGTGTGATCCTGATTGTGGCTTCACAATATTGAAATGGTTTCTTTCTGGTGCTTGCAATATTTTCCTTCTGATCTGAGAGCTCTAGAATGTGGTTATAATATTCCTAGTTTTCATGTAGGGATCTCTTCCAGAAGTTTATCAGTAGGTTCTTTTAATTTCTGTTTTGCCCTCTAGTTCTAAAATATCTGGGCAATTTTCCTCTATAATTTCTCAAATTATGATGTCTATGCTCTTTTTTAAAATTGTGGCTTTCAGGTAATCCAATAATTCTCTAATTATCTTTCCTCAATCTATTTCCCAGGTCATTTGTTTTTCCAATCAGATATTTTACATTTTCTTCTATTTTTTCTTTTTTCTTTTTTACTTTGTGCTACTGTTTCTCATTTTCTCATAGAGTCATTAGCTTCCTCCCAATTTTAATTTTTTAAGGAAGTATTTTCTTCAGGAAGTTTTGTATCTCTTTTACCATTTGCTCAACTCTGATTTTTAAAGAGTTATTTTCTTTAATATATTTTGTACCTCTTTTACTAAACTGTTAATTTTCTTTTCATAATTTTCTTGCATTGCTCTCAATTCTTTTCCCAATTTTTACTCTGCCATTCTGATTTATTAAATCTTTTTTTTTCCTCTTTTTAATTCTATCTTTAGCTCTTCTGGAAATTCTTATTGGGCTCGTACCCAATATGCATTTTTCTTCGAGACTTTGCTTGTAGATGTTTTTAAATAATTTTCTTCTTTTGAGATTGCGTCTTAAACTTCCCTGTCACCATAACTGCTCTTTATGGTCAGGTCCTTTTTTTGTTGTTTGCTCATTTTTCCAGCCTGTTTCTTGACTTTGGACTTTACATTAGAGGTGGACTATGCTTACCTCTGAGACTGGGTGATTGTGACTATCCTAAGCTCCAGGCTTTTATGTCCTGCTGTTTTCATGGCTTTATTTAGGGTCCTGTAAGTTTTCAGTGTTTCTAAGGTCCTGTGATCTGGGGAGGGGTCTGGTCACTGTACTCCTGGTCTGTGCTCTGATTATTACCTACATAGGGCCGATGGTCCCTTGAACCACAACTCTTCTCCACTGTAGAATTCTGATCCATACTAATGTGGGACCCACGATCCCTTGCAACCACAAGCATCTTCTCTGTGGCTTGGAACTGAGTAACAGGCAACAGATTCCTACAAACAGTTCTAGCATAGTTGTCCCCCTATAATCTCTTTCTAACCAGATGTTCCATCTCCTTACCATCTCTGGTAAGGCTGCTTCTGCAGCCACCATGGCCACCTCCAAGGCCCACAGCTGGTATCACTTCTGCCATTCTGTGCTCTCAACCAGCCCCACCACAATGTCCACAAACCT